AGGGGGGGGGGGGGGGGGAATGGTCTTTGTTCTGCGTATGAACAGCCCTTCGCACACCCCCAGTCCCGCGGCTGGGCGCCAGGATGCCACAGTACTACAAGTAACAAAGCCATAATACAGGTTGCTCCTCTAAAACCAGAACCCTCTGGTCTGGTCACATCTGTAGCCCAGAAGGACTCCAGATATTCCAGGATCAGGACGTCCCAGCATGCTGCAGGGAGTGGGGGACCAGGATCTCCTCTAAAACCAGAACCCTCTGGTCTGGTCACATCTGTAGCCCAGAAGGACTCCAGATATTCCAGGATCAGGACGTCCCAGCATGCTGCAGGGAGTGGGGGACCAGGATTCCGGCTGGGAGCCAGTGTGTAGTTCAGCTGGGCATGGGGGCGGGGAGCCAGGAAGGTGGGAGGGGGGAGGGGGGCAGGCAGTGGGACCAGCAGCAGAGGGACCAGAAATGACTTCTCTCGTCTGGCAAAATCCCTCATCCAGAACCAGTCATGTCCCAAGGGTCAGACCCAAGAGGTCCAACCTGTTTACAACCCACACAGCAGAATTTGGCCCTATTGTCATCCCTCTTTGTCCTGTTCCAGTGCCCCACACTGGGGACAGGTCTGACCTGTAGCTCTCCCTTGGGTCCACCCCCGCACAGTGGACGCAGGGGGAATGTGGGGAATAGCCCTGACCTAGCACCATGGACGAAGGAACAGAATTAGCATCCTGCCTTCCTTCTGCAGGCAGGAGGAAGGCGGGATGTGCTCTTAGAAATGAATGGAGATGCCTATCTCCTAAATCATAGAATCAAAGAATAATAGGACTGGAAGGGACCTCAAGAGGTCATCGAGTCCAGCCCCCCGCCCTCAAGGCAGGACCAAGCTCTGTCTACACCATCCCTGACAGATGTCTATCTAACCTGTTCTTAAATATCTCCAGAGAGGGAGATTCCACCACCTCCCTTGGCAATTTATTCCAATATTTGACCACCCTGACAGTTAGGAATTTTTTCCTAATGTCCAATCTAAACCTCCCCTGCTGCACTTTAAGCCCATTACTCCTTGTCCTGTCCTCAGAAACCAAGAGGAACAAATTTTCTCCTTCCTCCTTGTGACACCCTTTTAGATATTTGAAAACCGCTATCATGTCCCCCCTTAATCTTCTTTTTTCCAAACTAAACAAGCCCAGTTCATGAAGCCTGGCTTCATAGGTCATGAAGCTGGAAGGGACCTTGGAAAGGTCATCAAGTCCAGTCCCCTGCCTTCACAGCAGGACCAAGTGCCATCCCTGACAGATTTTGCCCCAAATCCCTAAACAGCCTCCTCAAGGATTGAACTCACAACCCTGCATTTAGCAGGCTAATGCTCAAACCACTGAGCTATCCCTCCTCCCCCCTCCCACCAGGACGCTTACTTGTCAATCAAGGTCTGCTCAGCTTCCTCCTCTCGGAACAGGAAGTGATGCATCCTCTCCTTGTAGTTGAGGCGGGTGATGGGCGTGTTGGGGGCGCTGTCGCGCTGGAACTCCAGGGAGAGGGCGGGGGCTTTGTACTTGGCGAGCAGGTTCACCTCGTGGCTGGTCATCTCCACGCTGGGCACGATCACCCGGTTGCCGCTGTGCCAGCGCTGGAAGTTCACCAAGCTGC